TTGCCCTTCCTTACAGATGAAAGCAAGCTTTGCCTCATCCCCCTCTCTAATTCTCAGGTTGTTGTAACCATTCCTCATATCCAAGCTTGTATATTGATCAGCATCTAGTAAACTGTCTACAAGTTCCATAGTTAATGGTAATGGGTACTTGTTCTTAACTGTGAGAGAATTAAGTTTCCGGTAATCAAAACAAGGGCACAGATTGCCATCTTTCTTTCCCGTGAAAAGAACAGGTGCCGCCCAGGGTGAGGTAGTTCGTCGTATAGTGCCATTGCTTAATCCTTTCTCAAGCATTTCGTGCAACACTTCAGTCTCTTTAGGCGACAGAGGGATGATCCGTCCAGCTTGAGGGGTCGCACCAGGTATCAGGTCTACCCTAAAATCATAAGGCCTGCATGGAGGGAGGACATTCGACTTGGACTTTTCGAACATCTCTAGGTAATCGTGGTAGTCCTCTGGTACTAGCTCCGCAGCCGTCTTCTCAACTTTCCCTTTCGCAGCCTCGACCGCTAGTCTGGTGGAAACATTCCAAGCCTCAAGCACAGTCTTCTTCGGTAGAGGAGTTAAGGTTTGGCCAAAGTTTCTCGTGAATGTCGTCCCAATGGGTCTATATCTTGCACAGGGAGAATAAAGCTTGCCAACATTTCCAAGCAATTTAGATCTAGGAGATGTAGCAAACTCACTCTGCGGGGGTTTTGACGAGTTTCCAAACTCAACCCCCATCTCAACGATCCTAGCTTGCCTGTCAGGCCTTTTTCCATGGTCCATCAAGGCTGTTGTCGGTCGTTGAGACTTGCAGTCTTTTTCTTGCTCCTCGCTGTTGTCTTCGAGTTTGTTCATTTTCGATTCTTGTTCTAGGAGAGGAAAATACTCGCCAGCTGATTCAAGATTTGAAGGTTTAGAAACATGATCACACTCACATTGCGGGGGTGTGAATAAGTCTAAGACTTGCACCCCCTCGTCACTGTTCGTAGCTTTCCCCTTAGGCCTCAATTCGTGGTCCTTCGAGGATTGGTCCCGCAGTGACGAAACTGCTTCAGCAGTTGCAATTTCAGTATTAATCGTATCGAAAAGGGTGCCATTCGACCAATCAATGCTCTTGTGGTTACGCCTGATCCAGGGCATGCCAAGTATCACATCGTACTTGTCTCTCAGCTCAGTAACTATGAAGGTCGTCTCTTCTTCTTGATTGTTAACATGATAATCACCGGTGTGCGTGATTAAGGATTTGTGTCCGCTGAAGCAGGTAACACTGTGTCTCTCAGGCAAGGGGCTCGTCGTAAAACATGATCGATTCACAAACTTGTTACTCACTGCCTCATGTGTAGCACCGCTATTGATCAATGCTCTCGCTAGTTCAGTTGTGGCGGTCTTAGGATCAAATAAAGAAATAGTTGCAATTATACGGGTGTCATTTAATTCAAGACTATCAATAATATTGCTCATTTCATTTTCATTTGATTCTAAGTTAATTACGCTCGGGTGAGGCACAACCTTCACGCCCGAGCACCGCCATTTTTTGAACTCTCAGCTCTACGCTCCTCCTCTACCCGTTTTCCTTTATCCACCTTCCCAGTTTGAGTGTCTAATTCATCTAACTTTGATTTTAAGCGAGCTTCTAATTCATGAATCTTGCTATACAATGATCCTCCTGAATAACGTTGATTACCCCGATAAAATCCTCTGCCACCACCAAATCCTCTTCCAAAGCCTCCTCTTCCCCTCGAACTGCTATTCTTCATTGGGCATTCAGCTATTAAGTGATCAAGCTTACCACAACTATAGCATGCTCCAGTATTGCCTCTTCTGTTATACTCCTCATTAGATATGTTCATCCTGTACGCCAAGCAATCCATCGCATCAGGATCCGGAGTTGCCATTTGATTTGAGGTTGACAAAAACTGATGCATGGATTGATTCTCACTGACTCTTTTGTGCAATCGATTGTCAATTTTGATTGCTACCCGAGCCATCTCTTCTACCTTCTCAAACTTTTCCATAATCATGTAAAGAGAAATCTCAGGCTTCAGGCCCTGTTCAAATAATGACATTAAGATATCCTCATTCCATCTAACTACAAACGACAACTCAGAGAATCTAATCCAGTAATCCGACACCGACTTCACTTGTCTCAGAGCTCTGATCTCCTTTTGCGCATTGGAAACACGTTCAGTGTCAAAGAAGGTGGCCTTAAATTCATCAATAAAGTTTTTCCAAGTCACCTCCGAACTTCGATCGTCATCTAGTAACTGGTCCGTGAAGCGTTGACCCCAGATGTTCGCTTTGCTAGTCGTGTAAGACAAGGCAAACGTCACTCGAGCTTGATCATTGCCGAATAAGTGCGAATTCAGTTGGATGTACAGGCTCAATTGATCAAGAAAAATTTCAGCCTTGGACCCCTTCGACCCGTCGTATTTGTCAGGGGTCGCAACCTTGGGAGTTTTCGGAGTTGCCTGTATTTGTGGTTGTTGAAACACAGGATTGGTCGGAGCAGGGGTACTGTGCTGAGCTTGTTTCATCTGGTTCAACTCTCTTTCAGCTTCTTGGCGTCTAAGTTCGGCTTCCTGACGCAAACTAGTCTCGTTTGTCAACCTAGCATTGAGTTCAGCCAGTTGACGCATAACGTCTTCTAAATTCACTGAGGCCATCTCTGATAATGGTTTGTTCACGTTTGAGTCTTCCCCGTTTGATGAGGTCGAATCTTCCGTTGGAGCTGTAAAGTTAGGCGTGGTGGCGGTGGTGATAAGAGATTGAGTTCCAAACAGAGTTCTAACTTAGTATGAGAATATGCGGGGTAGTTATAGATGAGTGAATTATAAGGTTCAACTATTTAATTTAGTCCTAAACCGAATCTTGTGTCTTCTTTAATCCTTCTTCTATTAATATCTTTTACTTTAATTTTCTACTTTATTCTTCTGATAACTTCTTTCTTGGAATTACTTGATCTTTTAAACTTTTGAGCTAATAACTTTTCGATTTTTCTTCTTCTTCTAATGTATCTTGAATTTTAGAATCTTTAGTTGCTGCTATCCAGAATGAGACGTTGCAATATGTAATGGTCTGACTAGCTCTCGAGGGATAGGAGCAACAGGGTACTATAGCCTTAATAACGAGATTGCAACGTGAGGGAAGAGAGGACAAAGTGTCCCTCCTCTCCCTACTGACTATAGTACCAAGTAGATACTACAGTATAAGCATAATCCCAGTATTGGGATCTTTAGGTCATTACACTGCATGATAATTTTTCCTTTTACTTGATTGTGAGTACCTTTTTTCCCAATCAAAATCAAGCTCCCTATCAATATCCTTCCTGAATCTGAACCCAATTTTTGACTTTGATATTCAGAGAACCTATTTTTCCTTGCCTTTCATTCCTCCAAGTCTTTATTCACTCACAATCAATCAAGTTTAAGGCAAATCCCAAATGCCACATTGATTGAATTTTCGATTTTTGAATGTTGGTATCTTATGTGATTCAAAGTAAGTGTTTACTTGAATATTTTGCATTATTAGGTGATTGCATGGAAAATGATAATAGACACTAAAACTACTGGATTGTTTCTCTTTATATTGTTTATCTTGATTGGTATTCAGTCACCCAATCATTTCTAAGGCAAATCAATCAGGTTATTGATTTTAAACCATTCTTAAGTTCCTATTAGAATTTCATCATGGTTTTTCAATTCTGAAGTATAGATCAATCTTTTCTCCTTCACCAGTTATATATAAGTAGTCAAATTGGGCGGCGGGTGCCACATTCATAATATTAAGATGGGCTCCACTGAACACAATCCACATAGGCTGCTGGAGGCTATGCTTGTTCAAAGAGCATTCAAGCAGGAAAGCTTTGTTAGCAGTTGTTTGGATGTAAACCCAGTAGAATATATCGTAACCTGATGGAGATCTCTTCATCCGTTATGAATACCAAAGATAGATCAGAGCAATATGAGGGAGGCCTGTTAAGTGTTTACCACTGGCAGCAAGCAGCAGGGAATGAATGGGTTAAGCCAGGGTTCCAAGGACCACCAGATCCCCCCTTGCCGACCTAGGGGGTTAGAGTCTTGCAGTTGTCTCCAGCCTGCATCACAATTGATTTGCATCTGAGCCGCTCAGATATGCATGGTTCCACCACCTTAGCACAATAAGTCCCAATGAACAGCCCTGCGTGTTCAGCCAATCCGCTGAACTTTGGGGAACATAGAGATATTGAGAGGCTCAAGACTGCTAAGATGCTGAGACCCAGCCATTTCACAATCTGACAAACACATAACACTTGTGTCACACCTTTAATTAATGGTATCTCTCCTCCGGCTTGGTGCCTGTTCCGGTTCTCCTGTCGGACCATTGGCTAACCGGGAAACCAATCCCTGAGATCAACTTACGCCTTTAATACATAAATACCCATGGACCTACTTGATAGAAAGCAACTCCATCAAAACCTCAAGCGTACTTAATCAAATACCTTCACGTATGTTTGCAAATCCAATCAACAATCTTAGTCCTAGTTCTAAGCACTTGAAGCGAGAAAGAAATTAGCCAATGATTATTTAGCGAGAACAAATTACCTATTCAAAGACAAAACAAATTATGGCAATATTATGTATATTGTGCGAAAGAGAATGTAGGAACAATTGAATTATCAGTAGAAGAACATTCAAAAGAGATTGAAGAGAATATTCAAAAGAATGAAGTGGATTTTCTAGAAAATGAACGGCTTGAGAAATCATTACAAGAAGAAGGAGGAAGGTAAAAAGAAGTGGAAATTGAAACGACTGGAATGTTTGTAGATTTTTTTTACTGACTGATTGTAAATCTTGGACTACAGGATGAGCATGCATTGAAGGCTGTGATTGCTACTACTAGAGACAGTGAATCGGAAGGAGAAAAGTTCCTCAATGAATTAGAAGTAAAGGAATACCAACTCTGAAAGGTGTATATGTTTTGCTCAGGCCCAGTCTCCGCTTGACCAACTCATCCGACATAGCCCCGGAGCCATCATCATGGATGAACTCGCACACCGATACCAAGTTGCTGAGCACGAGATCCTGCACAAATTACTCAACCCCAGAAAAAACGGTCACCGCGAAATGCAAGTAACCAGGATAATGAACGCTATTCAACAGGAGGGCATGGCTCTTAACACATTCCTCTTATCGGTGAACCAACCCCTCTGCACATGGCCACCACACCACCCCTCCTTCTACAGCGGCCTGCTTGTAAAGACTCAAAACGTATTGCACTTCCTTGAACATCAGAACTTGAATGTGTTCAACTTTCTATTCTGCCTTCTTACCCCCAAACATCATACGCTGCGGCCTCATCGAGAAGTTTGGCAGGGGAATGGTGCACATTCATATTTAGTATGCCGCGTACTTGACAGTATAAGGAATTTTTTAATCCACGCGGGGAATGGCCACGTGTGGGAGGATTACATCCAGGCGCAGGTCAGCCATTCATCATATCTCCTCAGATACGTGACTCCCAATTAACATATTGCGTCATGTTTGATTTAGCAGGTGCAATCCCTTGCAACCGAGTCTCCACAAGACATGTGAGCGCAATGAGAGCCGCGCCCTACTGTGAGACCTTTTGTCACTTTTTGGTTATTCATGGTTCATGGTTTGACTGACTGCCTGCAGTCTGATCCTTCGCTTTTAGTACGTAGGCACTGGTGAAACGGCACACCGTGTTGACCTATTTTTACGGATAATATTTGGAGTAAACAAGGGAGGAACAGGGTCGGCTTGCGGGTTCATTTGTTCAACCCTTCCCAATTGAGTATTTTTGTCAGTTCATACCATGGTGTGCTTGGTGTGTTTGAGTCTACTCAGGGTCATTGCTACTTGCGCTCGGATTTGATCCCAAGGAAAATTACTGTGCGCGCGATGTGTCACTAGGCATTGGTGTGTTTGAGTCTAGGCAAGCTCATGTCAAAATGCGCTCGGATTTGTCCCCAAGTTGTAGAAGGGGGGGCGTGCTGTCATCCCCCAGCATTCTCTACGTCACAGGTGAACAGGTAGGATCCACTCGCGTTCAACCTGGTGTCACTTGTTCCACCAAGGACTATCTATGGGCCTTTGTATATATATCTATATATAGACATTGCTTCCTGGGGGTTCAGACGAAGGATCACCCCCATAAGACATTATTGCTCTTCCTTACAACTACCCAGTCATGGACATCGACAGTGCTCTATCACCTGCTGCTGCGGAGGAAGAGCGTGAGATGGTCATCGCCCAAATCACCGACGCTATTGTGGCCCAAGGGATGACGCTCCAACAGTTTATTAGAATAGTCAATCCTTCCGTCTGTACCGACTTTGTAGAACCTTGAGCTACCTCACGTAACTCACAAATCACCACCAACACCATCAACATCCTGCACTATATTCATGGTCAGCAAATGAGTGTGTTTGATCTCCTTCTAAGTCTCCTCGATCGTGGCATACATCATCGGTGGCCTTATCAGCGTGCGTTCCGTGGGCATGGGCATCACGCGGACCAAATGATCATACGCCTGCTCTTGGCCATTTGGCATCAAGTCGTGGACGCAGGGCATGAAGAACGTCTATGGCACAATTTCATTCAAACACAAGCAAGCTCATCTATCCCTTGTTTGGACAGGTGGAAAACATGCTGACCTTTTTGTTATTACGTAGGCGGACGAACTGAGCATATGTGATTATTACCCTAGGTGATTCGATGGGTATGGCAGTGCTGTTAACCTGGTGGGTGATCTCTCATTGTTGGCGATTCCGACAGACCTATGCTGACCTTCAATAACGAAATACGCGAAAAAGAGTCACACCGGGCTCAGCCAGATAATGCATTATTGTTATGCACCTTACCGAGCGTAAAGTGTTGTTTAGTCTTATTGTTATTTTAGAGGGACAAAACATTTCAGACGCGCAGCATGAGGATGCGATGTGTATCATTTCGGCCCTGCTGAATACCCAAAAGGGTTTATTGATGTTAAGATGAGACTGACTCACGGTAATAAAAATGTGAGAGCGGGCCGTTAGAGACAAGGGGCGTGCGCTTCGTTTTCATTATAAGCACATGGGCGTTTGATAACACTGCAAACATTAATCAACTTCCCCAAGTGGGCAGGAAAAATGATTGGGAGTATCATTTGTCATAGAATGATCTATCACTCCACACCTGATCCATAACACCCACACTACATATGTGTAGCAGGCTCAGTGAATTGGTGGTTATCATGTACATACAGTTCTGCTCAGTTATCTGCTCAGCAGGATGAGTTATTCATATGTAATACATGCTGTAACTTTTTTCAGATTGACAAAAGCATTCAAAAGATAGACTACATACACTGACTTGACGTTTTGGTGTAATCTCATCAACTCAACTGCATGTAATACCCTTTCTGTTACTAAGAAATAGCTTCAAAAATATTGCCTGAGCAGCTACAGAATTATATGTATTGAATTCTTGGGACAATTTTTTCCAAGTCAAAAAAGTTACATGTGGTATAACATGTGTGCTATATGTTCTGATGGGCAAAAAACTGAGCAGACCTGTATGTACATGATAGAAAACTATTTACTTAGCGTACTGCACATATGTAGTGTGGGTGTTGAGGCTCAGGTGAGCGGTATTGGATCTTTTTATGACAAACTGTACTATTAATCATTTTCCTCTTCCAATGTGGGGAAGTTGAATGATGTTCACAGTGTAAGTGTGATTTGTGAGCAGTGAGAATATAAGAAATTTGGGTGATGTACCGACCGATCTCACGCCAGAATTTCGACTTTGCGCGTAAATCCCTCACTGGAGCGGCCGGTACGAGCCAGCGATAGGACTTAGTTAAGTTTGCTATGTAGTCCTCAAAATCAGGCAAAGCACGGACTCATTTTTTTCATCGCTCACACGCTCAATATCTTCAAAATCACCATATTGTCGACTTTTTCCTTATCATTAGGGGTCAGCTTTTTGAATTGTTCCAGTGTTTGACTTGTATCCTGTATGATCATGATCAATCAACATAAATGTGAGTTGTCACTTTCCAGTCTTGCCGCATGATGTCTACAAATTCATTGTTGCAGAGCTACATCAACACTGTAAGATTAATAATCTAGATACATCAATGCTAGAATGAATGGTGGGTAGAGAAGAATCATGATGGACAGCGGAGATTGTTGTAGTTGTAGTTGAAGGAGATGATCAAAGTGGTGTTGATCATGAACGAAACACCTGTGTCTACTAGACGCTTTGGATATTATCCATAGGAAAACGTGCAATTCCCAGCGGACACTGTCCGGAACTCCCCCTACCAACGCGCCGCCGCCCCCGAGGCGTCGGACTCAAAGACATATACAAGTACTTTCCGCATCAGTACATCAGCTAGCAGCACCTATTCGACCATCTAATCCCATAACGGGCCTTTGGTCAAGGTCAAAAACCACTCACGGTTGCGGCTAAGAATCAGATTCACCATGATGTGAATGGCATTCACCATGATGTGAATGGCATTCCCATCCATGTGAATGGCATTCACCTAATCACACGGAAGTGATTCCCACCTATAAAGACTGATTCAATAAAAGTCACACTGAAACTCAATCCCATTTATGTGAATTGAGTCACATACAGATACAAAGCACACAATTCACATATATGTGAATCTGAATCACATATATGTGAATTGTGTCGCATACAGATACAAAGCAACCAATTCACATATTGAATTGAGTCACATACAGATACAAATCACACCAATCACACACATGTGAATCCCAATCACATATATGTGAATTGGGTTACATGCAAATACCAACACCCCTCACGCAAATGTCAGTCTTTTAGTCAATGCCACCACGTGCAAATGTGAATTGACACATGTAAATACCAAACACACCCAGAGCACACAATTCACATATATGTGAATCCCAATCACATATATGTGATTCCAAATTCAAATCACACCAATGTCAATTGTATCAATGCCACCGCCACCACATGAAAGGACAAGTCACACCTATGTGAATCCCAATCACACATATGTTAATTGAGTCACATGACAATCCAAAAAAAACACCTATACAAACACATCACACACATGTGAATTATATTCACACATATGTGAATTCCATTCACACATATGTGAATTCTATTCACACATATGTGAATTCCATTCACACATATGTGAATTCTATTCACACATATGTGAATTCCATTCACACATGGAATTCCATTCACACATGGAATTCCATTCACACATGGAATTCCATTCACATATGTGTGAATGGAATTCACATATATGGAATTCCTTTCACACATATGGAATTCACATCTGTGTGATGTGTTTGTATAGGTGTGAATCTGGGAATGGAGTTCACATATAAGTGAATCCCAATCTCAGAGTGTGGGAATTCCATTCACACATACGTGAATTCTATTCACATATATGTGAATCCATTCCACACAGGTGAATTTAGTCAATGCCACACGTACATAATCACACCTATGTGAATGTCATTCACATATATGTGAATCAAATTCACATAGGTGTGAATCAAATTCACACAGGTGTGAATGACATTCACATAGGTGTGATTCAAGTCAATGCCACCACATGTAAGTTCAAGGTGTCCTTTCCACCCATATGTCAAGGAAATCACAACAAGGTCAATTTGATCCTTGTTATCTCACAAGGTATATATATAGAACACTACACTCAAATTACAAGTTTCACAGATCAAGAACAAGATTTGCAAATAACATCTAGTCCTAATCAATATATATATCTTTTGAAGCTAAGATTAAAAAACATATTATTGAATTGAACAAGTTAAAACTAATCATTTCCTTCATTTTTATGTCTCCTTTGAAGATATATCATCATCATCTGAAATCACTTTCCTTTCACAGTTTGGACCGGTGATTGAATTGCTTTCCTTCATCCATTCTCTCCAAACCTTGATGTTTCACAAAAAAAAGTCCCCCAGTCCTTGGCTTTAGGAGATCTCAAACTCCGCCAGTCTGGATGGATGTTGTCAGCCCTGAGTACATATACATGTACCCAAAACTAACTTGTAATCAAGAACTATCATATAAAAACCTAATTACATATACATACATCCTATAAACAGTATGTAACATGTAATAAAAGACATAAAAATATCAATTACATATACATGTATGCCTAAAACCACATGTAATATGTAATGAAACATCATTTACACCTCATAACTCAGTGTCAAGAGTTAAAATGCTTATACTACATAATACACTTAGCATATATATGTAATTAAGCATAATTGGTAATGATCATAACAATCATTAACAACAAACCCTAAACCAATGTAGTGATACAAACAAATACCACTACAGTTAGGTTTAGAGAGGAGGGTATATAATCCTCTCCTCTTGCAGCCTTCACTAAAATCCCCCAAGCAATTATTACACCATACTTTTAGAGAACAGAATCAAAGTTCTATTGAAGTAACATCAAGAGTCTTATAATTATAAGACTAGTGATAACTTCATAACTTTAATCAGCTTCCTGACTAAAAGTAAGTAGTAATCTCTTCACCCTTTTCTGGATCCTCTGCTTTCCCTAAGTAGAAATCTCTCAGGTTGGTTACCTTTTGAACAACCACAGGTTAGTGACCTATATCAACTCACAGGTTAGTGCACCTTTTGAACAACTACAGGTTAGTGACCTATATCAACTCACAGGTTAGTGTACCTTTTGAACAACTGCAGGTTAGTGACCTATATCAACTCACAGGTTAGTGCACCTTTTGAACAACTACAAGTTGGTGACTTTAGAACAACCAGATTAGTGACCTTCACCTCACTCTTCAATCTGTCACTTAGAAGATTGAAGGGAAGCCTTGGATCCAGCTTCCGTTATTTATAATACTTCTATTATAATTGAAATCTCCTTTTAAGGAGTCGCCTAACTGCAGTCTGTCGGGATTTGTCCAAACAGACTGTTAGTTCCTTTTAACTTCCATTCTTTTCTTTATTTCAAATTGTAACTACTACATATTTGAAATAAAAGACCAGAATTTCATTACTCCATTACCTATTTGCCATCTTTAGTGAGCCTAGAGTACTCCCAAAGAGTACCCTACCCTCACATTTGGGGGCCTCATCGTGTTGAAACCCAAATTTCAACCTCACATTTTTTTTTTACCAACATTGTGAGAATTCATATCACTAGACAAAGTAAGATCAACCAATAAAAGATAACATTTATTGCATCAATCTGGAGTCTATTTTGAAACACTCAAACTACACAAACCAGAATCTCATTGAGAATCATACAAATTTATACAAATAGTTCTTTTTGGTCTACTTCCTCTA